ACACACACACACATGCACACTTTTCCTCACACTTGCTTTTGCTTGGACACGCGGGAGGGCACTGTTGCTGGATGTTTGTGGCTGCTGTCAACAAATCGATTGACCCAAAAGGCTTGGATACTCCAACTGACATGAAGGAGGCCGCCATGTTGTCCTGACAGTGAGGTGTCCATCAAACCGTGTGAATGTGGATTAAACTTTTAAACGTGGATCCGGAATCCAAATGTGTTTTTCTTGTTTTTCATTGTGATTTGAAAGGTTTGGGCCTGGGTGTTTGGTTGACCCGGGTTTTGAAAACACACCAATGTTCTTCATCCAGGACCTTTCTGCTGGAGACCCCCTCCTCTTCGACACCGCCTTTTGCTCAGCACCCATGGACGGCGACTGGGCACCTGTGTAGTAAGCGACCACCAACGTTGTAGCACACCTACTTGATGACCTCATGGTAGGTTAACTGACTGATGTTGTATAATTGTGTAAAGGTACAGGTAGGCTTGGGGTTTGAGGATGCAGTCCTAGGTGATTGGTTCTTGATGAATGGCATGGGTTTCAGAATGATTCAGCAATATTCAGGGCCTTTTGGATTCAGGCAGCACTCAGTGATTCCTTGGCACTGACATTTGAAGCAATCTCCGAAAGTATGGATAACCGCCTGTTGAAAACGGGCTGCTGAACTGTCGCAAAAAGGATCGAGCACATGGCAGCACCGTTTCCGCTGCTAGTGTATAAGATCAGCTCTACAGACCCATGCGGTATTCATCTGAGGCGACCAGGAATTCTACTGCACCATCGCGGAGAAATCCATTCGCAACTCAGCGATTCGTCGCGGATCGGCACAGCGGTGACACCGCACGATCGTCCCGGGGGGGGGGGCCACTCCATCCAATAATAGTAGACGCTTGATTGATAAAAGACAGAAGATCAAGACGTTTTTACAATCAAAACATGCATATTTTTTTATTGTTAATCAAGATATATCAAGATTCTTCATGATTGCCGAGTGTGTTCTGGGGTGTTACGATTCGATCAAGACTCAGTCACTGTGTCAATTTTTAGGCGTCTGATCGTTGAAGCCAAGGTAAAGGCCATGCGGACCGCAGGGCCAGCGCTCGCAGTTGGTCCGCAGGGGTGAGACGTATGCAGTCGATCGATCGAGTTCTTCGGAGAAACCGATTACACTACACATAGTACAGTAGACATCAAGGAGACGGCCTCATTCTTGGGACATGCTTGCTATTCAAGTGGTACACCAGTTATCATTGACACATCCAAGTTGGATCATCCACCTATGAGCCTGAAGTGCAGCTGCTAGATTGTTGATAGCCAAGACCAAACCATCCCACTTGCAAAACTAAGGGCCGGGGCTCGCCGCGAAAGACGCCCAATTGTGGTGGTACATTAAAGGACGGACGGAAGACGCTGAAAGACATCGAAAGACATGTCCTCAGTCGTGAATGCTTTGTGTTTGGTGCTGCCCAGTGGAAGGACGAAAGACTTCTGCTTGTCAAGGGGCCACTTTCTCCATGTCCTGACTGACCACGACTCATGGAGAGCTCCCAGGGGGGAGTCCACAGCACATCCCCATCGACCTGGTACTGTTTTGACCTTCTGGGGCCTCTGGGAGGCTAGTTTCTCATGCAGCCAGAAGGGACCTCTACCAGATCTGGGGGTAGTCTAACATGGAGCTCCAATCCCGTCAGACCCTGCTTCGCCCCGTCCCTTGTTTGACAATTGGTCACCACAGATTCGGCGAAGAGATCCTGTGTATCCATGTCGATGGTGTCGATGTTGTCGAGTGACGCAGTGACGCCTGACAGGTGCCTAGGCTTCCTCCGCGGTGACTGTTTGACACATTGACACATGCGAACAGGTCTCAGCTGGATGGTGAACAGGGAGAAACAGGGAGGAGAAGTTTTTACAAAGAGACAATGTCCAAACCGTTTTTTGAAATGCAATTTCCATTGACACTAAGAAGCCTTTTCCATGAACTCCGAAGGGTGGGTCATGCCTTGACGACAAGCATCCAAGACTTACGCAGCTCACCCAGGTGTGGATGCGCAAGCGGACTTCTACTATGTCACTTGGACGAAGCGCATTCTCAATCCACTTGAAGCATTCTCATCATGCCCAATCCGTTCCAACACCCTCCTTGCTGCTGGAAACCTTGCAAGAAATGAACATTCTTCTTGTAGCAATCGGTCATTGGATGTCATTGGTCATCATGCCGTCTTGGTTTTCAGCGAATTTTGCTCCCTCACCCACCCAGGCAAAAAGGGAGTTTCTTCTTGTAGGGGTCTGTGTCCGGCTTCGTTCGCCGATGGCTTCTTCCAGCCATGGCTCCCAGGATAGTCTCCTGAAACTGTGCACCAAGGCTGCGGGACCACGGATGGGTTCTCGTCCTCTCGCTGATCGGTTCGGTTCGGACGATCGGCGGCTCGGTGGGGTTCGGGTGTTTCGCAGCAGCGGTGAGGTTCAGGTCTTTCTCCACTTTCGTGTGTCCTCGTGGTGGTTTGCATTCCATGTCTTCCAGTTGAGGTCTTTCCCACCCTAATCCATACCAAATGAGTTGGAACAAGTATGCTTGCTAAGTCATGAGGCAGGCACCTCTCACATTTGCCAAATCCTTCCGTGGTTCCAAAAGCACCACGCAAAACAGTTTCACGAAGCCTAAGGCGTTCTGACCATCCTTCCGGAGATGACCTGGTCCACACGCGGATCGAGGCCTCGCCCCGGTCAGGACTCCCACGACCGAGCCACCTTGGAAGGGACCGAGATGGAAGCGGACACGCGCGAGCAGATCCTGGTGTGTTGCTTGGCCCAGCCTGGCCTGAGTGGTTTCAAATCCCAAAGTGGGGAGGAATGCAGGAAGAACGTGGCAAGTGGCAACATCCAAGAGAGGTTAAGTGACCGTAAATAGGACCCGTGATTTGGGGTACCCAACTGGGATAGGTCTAGTTCGAACAGCCCCGCGGCAGGCGCACAGTGGGGAGGTCAACTTCTCCGAACCCCCCCCTAGCCGCTAGACCGTGTGCCACCAATGGGGTATGCCGCGTGTGCCGCGCCAAGAGCCTAACACATCCGGGAACCTGTTCAACGCGCTCGTGGGAGCGTCTTCGCTTTCCTCCGCGGGCACCGCGCCGGGTCCGGACGTGGAGACGCGCGGAGAAGCGCCGACGAGGCTCCATCGCCGAAGCCAACTCGCTGTACTGCACCGAGGACGGCGAGATCGCCGCGACGTGGGTGGTGTGGGTGGGTGCCGGGCACAAGACTTAAGTCACACAGATCCAAATCCAAAGCCTTCCTCAGTGCCGAGCCTCGACTCACCTCCGCCGCTCGACCCCCCTCCGCGCGCGCGTTCGTGCGCGCGGTCGCTCTCAGCGACCGACCGGCGCGGAAGACCGAGGAGCCGAACTTTGCGGCGCTGTACGCCGCGGGCGCTCGCTTCAACCATTCCTGCGCGCCCAATGTGTCTCGTCACGACATGCGATTGCGATTTGCAACCGTCCGTTTGGGGATGTGGAAGATTGTGGAAGGATGGAAGGATGTGGGGGGTTGGTGAATTCCTGCAAAGAAGTACTGCCAATTGTTAGACGTGCTAGGAGATGGTAAGAGCATTTGGCTGAGCCGATGGAAAGGCAAGCACATGACAGTACACATTGTTTTTGGATGAATGTAGCGATGTCACTTTCTTTCTGTAGACCGTACACTTGCCTGTATTTGCACTAGGAATTTTGTGTAATGAATTGTATCCCGGAGTTTGTGTTTCGGACCGTTGGTGGATTTGTGACACATATCATATCACTGCATGCAGAGATGCAGAGACTGCTCTTCAAAGGCATCCTGGACAAATTCTTTTTGTAATGTCACTGGACATTTTGTTCTTAATGATCTGGATGTTTTTTGGGTCACATGGCCAGAGGTGACTACTTTGGGGGTCGTGAGACCCAAGGAAAGTAACGTATCTCTCGGACTACCGCCGCACTGGGCCAAAGAGATATGCGGATAGGGCTCAGAAGTGGACCAAAATGAATAGGTGCCCAGTGCCGCACTGAAAAGGCCTCGGCAGAATGGTTGGTTTGTACATGGTGCCGCTTGGAATGGGGTTCGATTGGCTTGGAATTGATACCGTTGGCGGATTCAAATGCAAAACAGGGGGCTTGTCAAGGCATCAAAGAGTCACAGTCATAGTGAAAAAGGGAACTTTGCAGACTTTATGGTTGGTGGGTGTCCATCCACTATAGTACACTATAGCGCCCCTTCACTCCAAGGCAGGCCTTATAGAAAGAGGGATTTATTTAGTAACAAGAAGCATCGCTAGCAGGTTGGAGGCCATCATATACCACTAGTAACAAGAAGCTACAAGAAGAAAGTAAATTCATGACTCTCATGGCACGCCTAGGCCTCCATCGAAAGCTCTCGAAGTCGACTCTTAGTGCGGGCCGCCACAGCCATTCCAAAGGGCATGGAGGCAGGGCGAGTTGGGGCTCGAGAGCACCGTCTCACGGCCCTCCTTCTCTCCCGTCACAGTCGGGCAGGTGACGATCAGCTATTTGCCACCACAGCTCCTGAGCGAGGCGGTTGGCTTCGCTGTGGGTGTGGTGGTTGCAGCCCAAAGGACTCATCAGTGGCGCTTAGCTCCAGACCGGTCGGAGGCCTCCGAAATCCGGCGCCGGGCCACTCCGCCACCATGAAAAGGTTTCCAAAGCGGCGTTCAGTGCCAGGCAGGACCCAAGCGGCGCGAGCGGCTGGCGGCCGGGCGCGGCTTTCAGTGCAGGCTTGCTGGGGGCGGTCCGGACGGGGCAAACGGGACGATGGGCGGCGTGCTTTCTGGGTGGATGGGTTTAGAATCTTTGGGGTCGAACCGTGCAATTCAGCAACACCGTACACCGTGAGAGATTGAAGTGGCGAAGTCTGCTATTCAACATCTGGGGGATTCTGGGGGCGTTAGAGTTAGTGGTTGGCCCCACTATGCCCCACTGGTGGTAAGCGCCGAGTACTACCCTCCCTCCAACCATAATGGAAAGTGGAAAATTGTCCCTGGGAAGACTACAAACGGGGTTGTCCACTTCCATGTTTGTTGGACGGAGGGCTGCAATTGGCAGTTGTCCCATTTTGTCCCCCTGACTGCATTTCCAGGGGTTGCAGGACTCAGCGGAGGACGACCACAGGGCTGACTGACGAGGCTTTTTGACGTCGTGTATATATATATATACCTAGGGCCCGAGGGTCCTTCCTATTCAGGTCCAACCCATAAATTATATCAATTACGCCCCTTTGGCTGGAAATACGGTCCTTTCCAAAAAAGCCTGTCTTTACGCCTTTCTACGGTTTTTTCGTGATTTGCAGAAAACCAAGTGAAAATTCATAGCAATAGAAAAACACTCTCCACAAACCCCCCCTCCTCTACAAACCCCGCTCACTTGGCTGGCCGCAACCTTTTTTGGAGAGAGATCCGGGCGATCCAGCAGCTCAATGCCTGTGAAGTTTCACGCTACCTGGCGGCAAGGGAGTGTGAGCTTAAGATGAGGATCCATAGGCATCCATTCCACGCATATCTTCCTGAGCCTTCTCTAAGGCTACTGAGTAGGACAACAAACCACGTTGGAGAACGCGTTCATGTACCCTCCGTACTGCTACTCGTCGAGATACCCTGCTCGGCTTTCCAACAAAATCTTCTTGAACCTGGCAGCTTCCTGCCAGAGGGTTTGTCACCCACTTCGTCCTGTTGGCCTGAGCCAGTAGTTCCACAGGTATATGATGGAGGCAATGTGCCTTAGGGACCATCGGATACCTCACTAGTCCAGCACAGTGTGTGATGTAAGCAGCTGTTTGGTATTGACACAGGAACGACAACAACCACTGGGCAAGAATCTTCGCTTTCCAGTCCCTGATCCAATATCCTTCTCCATACATAAAAGAAAGGGCGGTGTTCATCGCTTTGGTGCCCTTATCCTTGGTTGAAACAGTACTGGATGCTTCAAAAGAAAAGTTGTTGTAGCCCCTGAAAACTTGAAATCAAACCAGGTAAGCTGACTCTTTCACTGTTCAAAATCAAAGCGTACTAGAAAACATCTTCGTTGGTTTCAATCCTAGAATCAATTGCCAAAAGCAGCGGGTCAGTGGTGTTGTCAATCACATATGCAGTCATCAACCATTCCAAAAAGCCCATGAGGTGGGTTGACACCGAGCCTTTGTTCCATTTTCCCGTGGGAACTGCCGAGGACTGTGGCCAATTCAACGTATCCCTGTTGATGTGCTTGACCCATGAATTCACCCCAAACTCCTTGTAGCGTTCCGTCACCCAACCTAGCTTTGCTTCAATGGAATTTCCAGGAACAACATTGGATTCAGCTAGTGAAGCAAGAGATGCGCCCACCCATCGCTTCGCCAGCCCTAGATGGAACGTATGCCAGAGGTCGATGCACAGGAAGGAGGGTTTGGGCAAATTGCCCATGAAGGCTCCATGGAGGATTTCCGGCTCCGTCTCCCAAGGATCTTCCACACCAACTGTGGGCAGCCACTTTGGTGTCTGTGAAAACTCCTCATATGGATACACAGATCGATTTCCAACATTTGGAACTATCACCTCACGGCCGGCCAAACAAAGATGGCATATGCCTTTGCATGGCTTCTTGCTGGCCTTTGCCTTTGGGGCATGGGAAAAATTCCGTTTGAGAGACCCTATCCGGCTGAGTGCAGGAAGGTCTCCCTTGGTCCCTATTTGGATGAACCACACCCTGTAGCCACCGTTCCTCGCTGTCAAGCCCTCCAAAGCCAGCCTTCTCACATCTTCACTGTAAAAGCGAATGAGCTTGTCAAGGCTCCCAGGGTAGGCTTCCGACACAGAACGTAACATCGTGGCGAATACAAACTGTGTCGCCCACGTCGAACCCAAGAAATTCATACCAAGGCCATGTCTGTGTAGTGGAGCAACATGTTTCTTGCTCACAAGAAACTTCTTTGTTCCCCTTCCCAGGGCTCCGTGCGATGACAGAATCCAAATAGGAAGGTGTTTCAGGGATCTACCTTCGTCCGTGTGAGAAAAGAAGGGGATTGTTTGATCAAGCTGCAATGTATTGTTGCGACTCAACTCAAAAACTCCATGCTCTGGAAATGCCGCTTGGAACCGCTCCCAGAAAACACTCAGCACTTCCTTCATTTTTGCAAAAGTTGGAGTTCCTGTCATTTGGCGCCACAGCATGCCAGAATCCAGAAGGCATTGCATCCAAGAGCTCAGATTTATAACTGGAAACATGGTCAACTGGGGATGGCCCAAGTCCACCGTCGAAATCTCTACATTGGGAACAAGACCATACTCAGCAAAGATAGTATGAAGTGCGGATTCTGCATCGTTTTCCTTCACCCCAGCCATTCTCCGAATGGCCCTAGAAGCATTTGGATTCTCCTCCACTTCAGCTTTCGCAAGGGCCACCACATGTGCGCATGGAACCTCGGCGTAGCTTTGCAGGCATGCCAAAGCAGAAACCTATACTACTGGAAACATGTAAAGTTTCTTGAGGTAAGGCACACACTCTTGTTTTCCCCGGCCAAAGCGAAATTCTAACCCCGATTCGGCTTGGCACTTGGTACAGAAAAAAGGTGTCATGGGCCCTGGGCCCTTCACCCCATAAATTATCAAGCAGTTTGGTACCCAGCCATAACCCTGTTCTCAGACCAGGGTCTTTGTCGAGCGAAAAATGTGAGACGGATTTAAATTTGTTTGGACCCCCTTGGGAATCCACAAGATTCCACAAGTTTGGGAATCAGGGCCCAGCAGATTCCAATCTAGTATCTCAGACTTACAAGTCCGGGTAATCTTCAACACAGCGTTCAGAAAATCCGAATCAACACCCAGGTCCTTAGATGACAGACCCAAGCCAGATCTATATACATTTCCCCAAGCATGATACCACTCTCTCGTGCTAAGGTTCCATTTCAATGGCCTTCATGTGGATGGTTTCACGAAGATCGAGGCCGTACACCAAAGGGGTCATGGGAGCATCGTCTTGGGTCACATATGGGATCGAGTTCATGACTGGTGAAGTAGACACATCCCAAGCAAGCCTTAGTACCATCAAGTTCCATGCCACAACTTGTCAATACTAACACAGCTTGGCATGTTGTTCCATTTTTGAAGCAAAACACTTCGATGCTTTATGAAGCCGCACGCTCTGATTAGTTGGACTGTCGCATTTCCGTTTCTTGCCCAAGCTGGGGCAATAGAGGGAAAACGCACCAGATTCTTGCCCGTCCATGGCAGAACTACAAACTCCAGAGCTGAAGAGGTTCATCCTGACAAAAATATTAAAGTCTTTTTATAGGTAAGCTGAACATGCTTTATGCTGAACTGTTCAAAGAGTCCCGTACGAGAAAAACCAAACAGCTGCAAAGGCCGTGCACTGTTAGCTCTTTGGAAGCGTGACGTTCACGGGCAGGACGAGGAGACCACTCTGGGGCTCCAGCACCAGAAGCTACGAGGCTGGCTGCGTTTTCCAGTAGGTTGCGCTGCCTGCCACCTGGCACCGGCCAACCACAACATGCATGTAACCCTGTCCCTTCGTGCTGAAGGGTGATACCAAGCAATGCGTCGGTACAATTCGCTACAGGTGTTCCTTCTAGCCACGACTTCGATAAGTTTTGTCACATGCTTTGCACGTGCTCACCCCAACTTCAAATAGCCTGCCACCATTATCCCAACAGATTTGCAGGCTTGAAACCCTGTTCGACCAACTTCAAGTTGGAAGAAAAGATCTTAGTCACACTAGATAGCATTCAGCTATCCTTGTCCGCTTTGGACTTCATCAGGGCACGCAGGATCTTCCTGGCAATAGAGCGCGATAGGCGATACAAGTATGGCATGTCGTTTGAACTCAAGTTTCCAGAGTCTAGAAGAAGCAAACAAGCAGTAAAATTGGCAAGAAACTTCCCAGTGTTCTCTGCGGTGGTGACCTTCGCACACCTAGCATGGCAAATCACTGGGTAGTACAACGGTTCACTGGCAAAGCTGGCATTCCTGATAAACAGTTTTTTTGTGTAGAGAGCTTTGGGATCTAGGTGCAGCACGCCACTGTGGTGCTCTTGATTTGATCATCGATCATTTTGACCAGCCTGAGCACAATGAATAATCAGACTCAGAACTGAAAGGGTGGTGGAAACTTACAGGTAAACCGGGAAGCCATTAAATAATCTATCCAAGAAGCTCTTTCTTAGCATTGTCCGTCATGTGTTGATCAGCAACCAGGCTAGATCGTGCAGTTTCCACTTGCTCGTACTCTCTGTCCAGGACAGCAATCGATGCATCGAGATTTTCCACAGCCCTGAGTACGGACACTCAGAACAATATTTGGATTGGCAGTGGGGCAGGTCTTGCACATGTCATGAACAGTGACCAAATCCACTATCACTCTCAAGGCCCCCACTTCTGTGTCCGCTTTTGTTCGGAACTGTCGGCACTCATATCTTGAAGTTCTGTCTCAAGAGATTGCGCCAAATCGGTGAGCTTAGCAGATCGATTCAGGAGGCTGTTGGCAAACTTCTCGAACCTTTGGAACTCCTGAAGAATTGAAGACTCGGAAAAAAGGAGTCCAAAGTAGCATGTATAATACTGTGCTTTGAACCCTTGAAACCTGTAGGTTGGAGGCCGTGCCTTCTCCATGGTATTGACCACAACAGCCTTCTCATCCTCCCCGGACTCATCATCATCCTCATCTTCCGAATCCGTGATAGCTGCAACCTTGGCCATGCTAGCCTTGCGCTTATTGATCCTGGTCAGCT